TTATCTCACAATTTTTCCACAGAATTCTGATTTCACATCATGTAATTCCGACTTCTGTTCAAGTTTACATCTCCCAATTCCAACTTTTTTTTGGTTTACAGTTTACATTTAGGAATTTTTACTTTTATGCAAATTTACATCATGCATTTCAAATTTTTTATTTAATTTATTTTAATACATTTTTTTTTTATTTTATTTTACTCAGTTTATATCTTGCAATTCTTACTTTTTTTTTGCAAATTTACATCATGCAATTCAAATTTTTAATTTAATTTAATTTATTGAGTTTATTTTTGCAATTTTACATCTCGCAATTCTGACTTTTTTCTTGCAAGTTTACATGATGCAGTTCTAACTTTTTTAATTCAATTAATTAATTAATTCATTCATTTATTAATTTATTTATTTATTACAATTTTACATCTCGCAATTCTGAATTTTGTTTAAGTTTACATATCGCAAATCTGACGTTTTTCCACTGAATTCTGAGTTTACATTTAGGAATTTTTACTTTTGTGCAAACTTACATCATGCATTTCAACATTTTTTTTTATTTTTATTTAATTTTTTACAATTTTACATCTCACAATTCTAATTTTTTTTGCAAGTTTACACCTCATAATTATAATTTTTTTCCTCAGAATTCAGAGTTTACATCTCACAATTCTGTTTTTAGTTTGCAAATGTACGTCTTGTGATGAATTCTAGTTTACAATAAGTATATAAAAATAAAATAAAATAGAAAAAGTCATAAAAAAGTCTGAATTGTGAGATATAAATTAAGAATTCTGAAAATAAAAAAAGTCAGAATTGAGATAAAAAGTGTAATTGTTTTAGCTTTTTATTCGGTGGTGTAAATAAGCTTGCATACATCAGTGATGACACTAATTGTGTTTAGATCTCAGATGTTTCTGTGTTAATTAGATGAGCTCATATCTGCGCTCTGTGGTCAGCCAGAAGTCAAGGCGGCTCACTAACTGCAGAACATCATGCTTTTGTTCAACCTGACAAGCAGCTTGTTTAGCTACACATCATGAGATGTTGAGTCTAATGCAAGTGTGTATTGATCATATTGTGGCAGGCGGAGGGTTGTAGCTCTACAGACGCTTGATTAGAGATACTGACGCCTGACCTACATTCAGCAGGATTCCTGCGCTCGTCTCCATCCCACACGCTGGCCTACATCTCTGGAAACATGAATAGAGACACATTTAACATCGCACTCAATTGTTCTTTGTGTCACAAACCACAAACAAGATCCAGCAAAACGTCCATGATGAATGATTCAAAATGCGCTTGAAGCCTTCGACGCTTAGATTCGAATGATTCCGAAGATAAAAACCTCCAGTCACGTTCAACATTCATGATGGACACGTCAGATGTTGGTTTACTCTGGAGGATCAGTTCATATTGATATACAGTGTGTGTTTAAGCTATATGCGTGCAGTCACAGCTGGAATCCTTCTTTGACAAATACACACATTGTGCGTGTGTCTACAGGGTTTTAAACATAAAATGTAAGACTTTTTTTAATTCTGACTTTTTTCTTAAAGGGGTCATATGATGCGATTTCAAGTTTTCCTTTCTCTTTGGAGTGTTACAAGCTGATTGTGCATAGATAAGATCCCTGAAGTTGCAAAGACTAAAGTCTCAAATCCAAAGAGATATTCTTTATCAAAGTTAAGACTCTGCCACACCCCCCTAAAACACACTCAATAACAATATGTAGGCATAAATTTAAGATGTATATTTTTGAATGTGCATGCAGTTTCATAACACAGACAAACTTACAAACTTAATGTGAGGCATATTTGTCACTCATACATATTTGTCGCTTCTCCAGATGTTAACTGATGGACTGGAGTGCTGTGGATTACTTGTGGATCAAGTATACATAATGCAATTCTGAATTCTTTTTTTTTTTTTTTTCAATTTGATATCTTGTAATTCCACATTTTCTTTTTTTCTTGAAATTCTAAATTTACATCTTAAATTCAACGTTTATTTATTTATTTTGCAGATAAATTTATCTCGCAAATCTGACTTTTTTTCTTGGAATTCTGAGTTTACATTATTAAAAAAGTGAATTACAAGATATAAATGTATATACGGGACGCCAGAATTGAGATAAAAAGTTGCAATTTTTTTTCGAAGATCTACAACAGCAAATAAAATCACTACTGCATATCAAAGCAAAACAAAATAACATAACATTTAAATAATAAAATAATATATAATAAAATAAAAAAATTATATATAACAAATAAAATAATAGTAAAAAATAAAGTACAAAAAAGTAATCACGTATCTCAGTTTTACTTAATTAAACCAGCTGCATGCACACTCACACACACACACACTCACAAACACACACACACACTCACACTCACATTTACACTCTCACACACACACTCACACTCTCACTCACTCACTCACTCACTCACTCACTCACAGACACACTCACACAGACACAGACACACTCACACAGACACATGATGCAGTGCATTTGTTTTGTTTGTCTCACTACTAGAGATGGTTATCCATATAGTTCAGTGAAATGCACACATATGAGCTGATGATAAACTCTGTGTGTGTGTGTGTGTGTGTGTTGTGACGTGTGTGAATTATATCCGAGGAAAGAGGAACTGTGTATCTGAGGTCATTTGCTCATTTAACCGCATGTAACGCACAACTCTTCACTGTAATTCTACGCCCAACTCAAACCGATGCTTTTAGAAAAGCTGCCCAGAATCATTCTGAACACTAAAATACTAGTTAACCACAGCAACACTTTACTGTAGTAAAATCCCACTAACACACGGACTTCAGTCTGAACACAAACATCATCATGAAGCCATTAAACAAACCAATCACTTCCTGTCAGGGACCTTCATGAGTTAATTCTTCATTTACTGGAGAGATTCCCACTGAATCATCCATCATGTGAGGATGAGCGTTCAGATAAAGATGAACAAACACACATTATATTGATTGTATTGTAGATTGATTCTGATCACCATCAACATGAAACAGAGATAAACACTTAAATGACAGAAGACAGGAAGTCTATTGGTTACTGTTGATAAAGCGCTAATTGTCGGAGATTTTAACATTCACGTTGATAATACAAATGATGCATTAGGACTTGCGTTTACTGACCTAATAAACTCTTTTGGAGTCAAGCAAAACGTCACCGGGCCCACTCATCGTTTTAATCATACGCTAGATTTAATTATATCGCATGGAATTGATCTTACTGATATAGATATCATACCTCAAAGTGATGATGTTACTGACCATTTCCTTTTATTGTGCATGCTGTGTATTACTAATATTAACTATATGGCTCCGCGTTATCGTCTGGGCAGAACTATTGTTCCAGCCACCAAAGACAGATTCACAAATAACCTGCCTGATTTATCTCAACTGCTCTGTGTACCAATAAGTACACATGAACTAGACGAAATGACTAGCAACATGGGCACTATCTTCTCTAATACATTAGAAGCTGTTGCCCCCATCAAATTGAAAAAGGTTAGAGAAAAACGTACTGCGCCATGGTACAACAGTAATACCCATTCTCTCAAGAAAAAAACTCGTAGTCTTGAGCGCAAATGGAGAAAATCTAATGCTGGGATTTCCAGCAGTTTCCAGGTAAAAACTAGTGAAGCACCAGTGTGTTTCAGACATATATTAATACAGTAATACACACATATAAGCTCAGCATGGGATGATTGGAGCATGTGCTTCTGACTGAAGGCCGTGTGTGTGTTTGTAGCTGACATTCTGCCTTCAGCTAATGGAGCTGTTAAAAGAAATATGATGCTCACGTGACGTGATGTCTGTGTGGCGATGGAAACTGGTTTCAGATCAGCTTCCAAAGCCTCATAACGTGACATTTAACGACCTACAACAGCTTCTCAAACCGAGGTTCACTCGTACAAATACAGCTGCTTTACTGGCATGAAAAACCTTTAACATTCATGTAAAAAAAGGTACAAAAGCTGTCACTGGGGCGGAACCTTTTCAAAAGGTACACGTTTGTACCTTTTAGATACTAATATGTACCTTGAAGTTACCAATATGGACTCTTTAGGTACAAAGGTGTGCCTTTTGAAAAGGTTCCGCCCCAGTGACAACTTTTGTACCTTTTTTTCTGAGTGCACGGAAGGTTCTTTATAGCAGAAGAAGGTTTTTAAGAGTTTTAAAATATTCTTCACACTAAGAAAAAGATTTTGTTTTAGGAATTGATCACTGAAAGGTTCTTTGGGGAACCAGAAATGGCTCTTCTGTGGAATCACTGCAAAAAAAAAACAAAAAAAACTTTTGGAACCATTGTTTTTAAAAGTGTGTACGTTGATAACAAGCTTATGATTCATTTAATAATAAAAATGAAAATTAAATCAGTTCAAATATTAAAACACTTTTTGGTTTGCAAAAAAAGTGAACAAACTGATCATAAATCAGCTGAAATGTGACTGAAATGATGTCAGCTGCTGTTTCGATGTTGCAAAAACCACTGAAACAACATTGAAACAATGTTTACAGCGCAACAGTTGTAAAAAACGTAACAAAATAAATCAGTTGAAATGTGCTTGAAATGATGTCAGTTGTTTCAGTGTTGAAATGTCATTTAAACAAAACTGATACAATGTTTAAATCTAAATGGTTGTAAAAGTTAAAATATTTATAAAACGTTTATAACACCTACGTTGAAAAGACATCGGAACAACTTGATATCAATATTAATTCAATTAGTAAATGATGTAAGAAATAAATGCTGTGATTCAACCCTGAAATGTCGGTGAGTTCTTACATGTTCTCCAAGTAAATAATTGTAAGCTATTACATACATAATAAAAAAATTAAACACTCACCAAAAAAAAAAAAAAAAGATTTAATATTTAACTTGTTTACCTGCATGTCGCGTGACCATTAACCAACATCAACGAGTTGATTAATAATGATTTAAATATTGAAATAATGCAAATTAAAAAATCTCATATGGACGTCAAGGACACACTGTAGCTCAAAGAGGTTCGACGGAACAAACACAAGAGAGCTTTAGGCATAAACCTCGATTCACTGTCAGAATGAAACATTAGAACAGTTACAGCAGACATTTATGAACTCATTTACTTTCAAATCACTGTTTGTATTCACACCCACACATATAATAATATAAGAGTGCGCGCAGGATTGTGGGATATCACAGGCTGCTAAGGACACTTGAGAAACAGAGCAGATGACAGGAAGACACACAGACTGTATAACAGCTCCAGAGCTCTCTCTAGAGTACTGAATGACAGCGCCACCTGCTGGAACAGCGTGAAGAAATCTCTCAGACGGGAAGTGTTTTTTCACTTCATTTAATACACACATACAAAACCCCAACCAGTGTGTGTGTGTGTGTGTGTGTGTGTGCTACACAAAAAAACAGGTACAAAAGCACTCTCTTCAGCTACAGAAAAATCAACTCAAAATATTTTCCGCTCCTCACTGGAGCTTCCTTACAATCAAACGCACATCTTTGTATGTACTGCAGTAAACGTCTGATGAGAAACTGAGGTTCTTGAGAAGAGCGTCAGTCGTCTCGCTCTGGACTCTCACTTCTTGCGGGGCTTCGAGACGCAGATCGGCTGCAAGCAGAACACAAGAAACGCTGGTGTTGAGCGTGAGTTTCTCATACCTCTGCTTCAGAGGCGAAGCTCTAGATTTGGAGCAGCTGAGATTTAAGCAAAAACGCCTCTTAGGTTTAACAAGCGCGGGAAGTGTGTTGGTGGCTTGGCTGTTTGCATGCGACAGTGAGTGTGTGACTTGCAGCTCAACACAAACCCATCTAAACATCTCATGATGATTCTCATACACCGCTTTACTGCTCAAGAAACATTTTTGTGGAAACCGTGATGCATTTTATTTTTCAGTATTCACAGATGAATAGAAACTTCAAAAGAACAGCATCTATTTGAAACAGTTTGTAACATTATAAATGTCTTTACTGTCACTTTTTAGGTCATTTTTAGAACAATTGATTCTGTCCTGAACTCTAGGCTACTCCACAGTAACACCTGAGATTTGCTAAAAATTCCTTTAATTGTTTGTGGATAGAATTCAGGATATGGATGCTTTTTCACAAGACTGTGATGACATGTTTTATGGTCGTAAATCCTTAAAAAGTTTTTCATATTTGTAATTTTTTTTAAATGTATGTACATTTATAACACTATTCTGTATATTATATCACCTTTGCATCAAAAAACTAGTTAACGCTAATGCGAGGGTGTTTCTAATGCAGCATTAATGCATCTAATGGTCAAAGTGGTTATATTTCTTTTCATTTCTTTATTACGTTAATTTAGAAATATGTTTGGAACATTTTATGTTTGTTAAATTCAAGTTTTTTTAAAGTAACGACCAAGTGGCCAGCGGCAGACAGCGGGTTGAGCATATGTTTGATCAATTTGGCCTTCTCAAATCATCACGACTTGCCTAAAATAAAATCTATAGATATAAAACACTTCATGCATTTCACAATATTAATAAAAAAATGTAACCTAGATAAATGTGCGCTGTTAGACGCATATCAATCATTTGTGCGAACATGGAGGCGAGCGCATCTGAAAAATACAGCGGAGGACACAGACTGAGCTGCTGCGGAGAAAGTGCGTAATCTAAATTGTTCTAAACGTGACGAGCTTTATATTAAGGGCTTTAAAAAACACGGAAGATAAAGTATAGTTTATATTTTGGTATAGTTCAAAGCGCCGCTGACAGAGACGCTACTTGCGCTGTTTAATGTGTTTGAGATGTGCGGTTTTCCTAAATGCATAACTTACATTTCACAGACATATTTTCATTCTGTAAATGTTAGAAAGTCATGGAAATATTACCATTTTGCTGTCAGAACGGCATGAGCCTTCTGCTTTTGATTCTCCGCTAAACTTCACAGACTTCAGCAAACAGACGCGCAATGAAATAGGAGCGCAATAATTCTGACTAAAATATAAATTTCACTGAAATATTTGGACAATAAATGTGACATATGTAGAATTTTAAACCTACAAGTAAGTGTATTTTTATGATATAGTACTAACTGTAATGGGGTAAATACATTTTCTTAGCCTATTTATTTTCATTTTTAGTTTATTGAATTTAACTTCTGCTTTAAAAGCATTATTTTTGTTTTTAGTTTGCAATGTTACAATGTTAGAATGAAATATGATTTTAACCTTTGGTTACATTCGCTTTATTTGTTTTCATAGCCTTTAATATGTATTGTTTCATTAGACAACATTGGGCGGTACGTGAAATATATATATTAAATATTGTTTTTTTTTTTAAATCCAAATACAAAAATGAAAATACCGAGATATATACCGTATATCACAAATTGGCCAAAAAATACAGAGATATGAATTTTTGCCCATATCGCCCAGCCCTATATAGGTCTATCTCATTCCTCTATCCATCATTTGCAACTGGTCTAAAATGCAGCAGCTAGACTTTTGATGAGAACTAGGAAGAGAGAGCACATCAATCCTGTTATCGCTTCCTTACATTGGCTACCAGTTAGATTCAGAGTTGATTTTAGGGTTTTGCTGTTTGTTTATGAAGCTCTGCATGGGCTAGCACCACAGTATATTGCTGATCTCCTTAAACCATATTCTGCATACTTCTTTCTGTTCCGCGGTCCCGCTTAAAGACTAAGGGTGACCGAGTCTTTACAGTTGCGGACCCTAAACGGTGAGATCCTCTCCCACTCTGGACACATTTAAATCTAGATTGAAGACTCATTAACTCTCTTTAGCCTGTGGTGTTGCATGAGAATATCGGTTTTTTTAGTTGTTTATGGTTTATCTGCATGTTTTATCTTTATCTTAAGAGTCAGTTTTTTGCTTTTTGTATTGCTTGATAATGTCTACAATTGTACAGCACTTGTTGTTTTTAAATGTGCTTTATAAATAAAGTGAACTTGAACGTTTTCATCAATTTAATGCATCACAGATTAAAGTATTCTATTCTTTTTATTTTACCCCAAACTTTTAAATGGTAGTGTTCCACGCTTTCCACAAAAATATTGTGCGGCACAACTGTGTTCAACATTGATAATAATCAGAAATGTTTCTTGAGCATCAAATCAGCATATTAGAATGATTTCTGAAGATCACGTGACACTGAAGACTGGAGTAATGATGCTGAAAATACAGCTGCGCATCACAGAAATACATTACAGTTTAACAGAGATTCACATAGAAAACAGCTGTTTTATATTGTAATAATATTTCACATTTTGTACTGTATTTTTTATTAAATAAATGCAGCCTTGATGAGCAGAAGAAACTTCTTACGAACAATGAATTCAATGAAATTCAGATTTTTGGCATTAAAACATCACAATGCAAGAAAAGTGTGTTCATGCTTTTCCACCATTTATGCATGTCACATTTACATTAATGTCTTATGCTTACAGCAAGACTCAGGATGATAATGATGATGATGATGTGTGTGTGTGTGTATTCTCACCTCCTAGCCGCAGAGCCGGATTTGGATCTCCTGGCTGAACCAGATCTAAAGAAGCAGAAGTTCCCCATCAACACAAACACACAGTTCATGCAGCGATAATAACTGGTGAAGCGCAGCAGCGTATGTGTGTTACCTGCTCCTGGGAGCCGAGCCGGACCGCGAGCGAGAGCGGGATCTGGACCTGGATGAGGCAAACCAACAATCAATCCATTCAACTGCAGCAGTGATAGCTTACTATCATTGAAATACTAGTATTGTTTTTATTGATCATTTAAATTAGTTTACATTTTTATATTTTCATTTTAATGTTAGTTCAAGTTTTAGTAATTCTGTTGGATGTTCTGTCGTTTTATAAATTTTTAAATATGACTATAAATACCATAATATTTATAAATATAACTATAAATAATATATTTTTTAAATATTTAAAATATATATTTTTTTAATTTAATAAACATTTATATTTCTTTTAAGTAAAACATTTTTTTAATGGTTTAAGGTAAGTATAATAATGCACACAGTAATTGCAGAAGCAAATCATGACATTCATAAGGATGAAGATCATCTGAAGCAGTTTTGGTGAGGTGACGCTTTCATGTGTCGTCACATTCAGAAATGTGTTTTAGAACATTCACACACACACTCTTTGAATCACTGTTACATCCCCATGCATCAGTCACTCACCTGGAGCGTTTGGGCGTCACAGATCTGGAGCGTCTGGGAGAACCAGAGCGAGAACGACGAGGAGAGAAAGATCTGGATCTGAGACATCAATCAGGCACACATCTGAGTGAAGGATCACACACACACACACGCGCACACAAGAGACACAGACACACACACACACACACGCACACAGGCGCACACAAGAGACACAGATACACACACACAGACACAGACAGAGAGACACACACGCTCATACACACACACACACACACACACACACACACACAGGTATGTCACACACCTCCTCCCTCTGCTGCGGCTGCGAGAGCGCCCGTATCTCCTCCCTCTGGACCGAGAGCGAGAGCGAGACCTGTCCGAGTCCAGAGGAGAGAGACGAGTGTCAGTGTCACAGATTGACTGACTCGTGTGACCCTCAGGCACTGACCTAACTAAACTAAACACTCACATTACAGTTTAACATTACAGCTACAGTACACAACAGGGCTGGACCATATAACAGCGCTTCAACCGCACGAGTTCAGTTCACTACTTTGATGCACACCAACCGTTCAATTCACCACCGGGGTTATTATAGACAGCTAAAACCATAATAAACACTTTATTACTTGAAATAAAATAATAAATAAAACATAAAATATATATATTTTTACACTTCAGTTAGATAGGCAACATTTTGATTTTCATTTAGTTTAACGAACTAAAACTGAAATAAAAATTAATAAAACTATATATATATATTAGTGCTTGTCAAACGATTAATCGCAATCAATCACATTAAAAATAAAAGTTTTTGTTTACATAATATATGTATGTGTGCTTTGTATATTTATTATGTATATATAAATACACACACATGCATGTATATATTTCAGAAAAATATGTTGTTTATATATTAAATTTATTTATGTATAATATAAATATGAATATAGACATGTAAATACATGTAAATATTTTCAAAATATATACTGCATTTGTGTATTTATATAAACATAATAAATATTCACAGAACACACACATATATTATGCAAACAAAAACTTTTATTTTGTATGCGATTAATCGTTTGACAGCACTACTATATATATATATAAATTTGTAAAAATGACAAAAAACTAAAACTTTAACTAAAATTAAAATGAAAAATATAAAAACAAAAGCTACTTCAAAAATAAAAAAAACTATAATACCATCTCAATGATACTAAAATAACACTCAAAAAATTTTGCTAAATTTTGTTAAGTTTCAGTAATTTTCATTTCATTTTCATTTTTTGCATTTTCATTTAATTTAACTTGAACTAACACTGATACTAAAATTAATACAACTATATAACTATACATAAAAAAAACTAGTAAAAAACTAAAACTTTAAATAAATTAAAATGAAGAACGGAAAATATAAAAACAATAGATAATTATCAATTAAAAACTATAATAGTATCTCAATGACACTAAAATAACACTCAAAAAATGTTGCAAAATTTTGTTTAAAAAGTTTCAGTAAAAATATCTTTCCGTTTATTATTTTCCATTGTTATATTATTAAAAAAATTTCAATTAATTTACGCAATGATTGTCATCTAAATAAATATGTTACTTTTTGCAATAAAATGTTTGAATGTAACTGGCAACGATGATCAGTCTAAATTTCTCTGATTAAAAAAAATTGGAGAAGCGATAATTTAGCAATATCTACACGAAATAAGAGTGTTATATCGCCCAGCCCTGGAACTCTCTAAAGCATCCAACAGGTATTTAAAAAGTTTACAGCATTAAACATTACGACTGCTTTGAGTTCAGGCAATGATATACAGAGAGACACATTAATTGGTACTTGAAATAAACCTTGCAACTTTGCAGGTCGACCCTCTTTGGAACCGAGGTCTAGCAGATTTAGACGATCTAGAAGTATCTATCATCAGCCGACCTCTGCATCTAGTCGTTCTCTTGGATTTCTAACGATGACCGCACTGACAGCCAAATCGCTTGATTGAGACTTGATAGAAGTGTGCAAGGCGCTTTTGCTGCCGAGGTCTCGATGCTCTCTTTATCAAAAGCACAAATCGCTAGCCGAATTTACTCGGATTGGCGCTCTCATCTGGTTTGGGTTGGGGGAGGGGCTACGAATAGTTAAGTAGCAGTGGGAGGAGCCTCAGCGAAGGGGTGTGGCTGCTCGTGCCCCGGTCATATGGGATTTGCTAGATGCCTCATGAAATCGTAAAGGATCGTGACTCTCTGAATCAAACGATGAAACCTGAAAGGTTTTGACCAGGTCAGTCATTACATGAAATCCCAAAGAACATTGGAGAAAACATCAGTGCAGAAAACAACAAAACATCCCCCCGTTAACCCGCAAATCCAACAGAAGTCAAGCAGTCAGAGAGAGAGAGAGAACAACATCTCAAGGAAACAGCAGATGAACAGCAGTGCTATTGATCAGAGACCGCGTCGGTCGGCTGTACCTGCTCCAGCGCCGCCGGCCGTAGCGGTGGCAGTCGTAAGCGTAGTGGCCCTTCTCGCCGCACTCGTAGCAGCGGTCGCTGGGGTCGAAGGGACGCCGGGTCGGTGGACGGTCAAAGCGGGAACGCCGTGGCATTCCGGTGGAGAGTTCGACGCGCACGCGAGAGCCGCAGATCACCCTGAACACAAAGACCAGGGAAGACAGACTGCATTAGTGCTGTCAAACGATTAAACGCATCCAAAATAAAAGTTTAAGTTTGCATAATATTTAATCGGTTTTCATTTTTACGAAACAATATCAATTCTTAAATCCCTCGATTAGTCTAGCCTGTTTTCAGTTAAAGGAACACTCCACTATTTTTGAAAATAGGCTCATTTTCCAACTCCCCTAGAGTTAAACAGTTGAGTTTTACCGTTTTCGAATCCATTCGGCT